AGATTCAATTGAACACTGGTGATCACTGGTCTCATTGGACAGTGTGGTCTTAATATGGAGTTGACTTTACAAGTAAATTTTATTGGGACAGTAAACTTTATATAAAGGATTAGAAAACTTTACCCTAAAGTTGCGTTTGATGATCATTAAAATAGTGCTTTGTGTATATTCTGAATTTTCAGTCAGAAATCTACTGGATATGGAATGAAAACGAAATGCTTTCACTTCGAAAAGCTGAACTGGAGACAGAATTAGTGGATTTACATTATAAGAACAAGTTAGATGAGCTTTTGAAAGTACAGGTAAGTCCCAAACAATGTGCTATAAAATTTCTGTTCTCAATTCCATTGGAACTCTTTTTTATTGAATATGAGATGAAATATACAATAACGAGTCATGCATGTCTTAGTCTTAACATTTATTTAAAAGTGATACACATGTAACAACAGTCTAGTTTATTTCCATCCAGAATTCTTGTTAGTTATTTATATCTAGACTACAATAGACTATTTTCTGTTCACTGCGAGATCCCGCGTCATGCATGAAATCGAACTAAAAAAAAGGGCAAACACAGGTCATAGCGTCTCAGTGGCGTCCAACATCGCGTGGGATTAAACAAATGTGAAAGTATTTTGGGTGATATTTCCATGCTTAATAATGTGCTGTACACATTTGATGATAGTCAATTTCGGTGAAGTAAGGGCATTCAAACGCCATATTTTCTTGTCAAAGATCAACTTTTCGATGTGAGCTACGAAATAAAGAAGTTCAAGCTCAAAATCAAATCGTTTGATTTTTGTGACAGACATTCGGTGTGCATGTTACACATGCAATTCGCAAAATCTTCCAGTTGTACGGAAAATCACCTACCATGGTAAGGTTGTAATAGTTGTACTATGCTTCAATAATAGACTTGGGCAAAGTTGTAAAAGTTATGCTGTTTTCTTTTGATTCAATTTGTTCAACATGCATTTTAACACTACACTTGAAACTATCATTTGTTTAACTGCTTGAGTGCCAAAATCAACCTTTATCTATTGCACAAATACAAGATCCTCGGACATTCCATGTGTATGCCCATCAAATCCAAATCAATAAAAAAAATGCTGGATATCATTACATACAGTTTTTTTTTATTTTCCACAACTAGAGTGAACTTGATAAATATCCAACTGTCTTTCTCTTCACTGTCATTTATTTTATTCTCAGCGTGAAGGTCTCGGCCCTATTGTATCTGGTCTTGATCAGCTCAAAAAACAACACAATACATTAGCCCAAGCTGTTGATACAACCAGACACCATGTGCCAACGAAGGGAATTAATATACCTGTTAATGAGAGGGATTATCTAGGTAAGTGTAAAATATCCTTAGCTGCTTAGTTGTTCAAAACAAGTTTTTATTGTGAATTGCATGAGGCAGGGAGTATGAATCTAGGAAATGCTGTGTAGCAAGAAGAATGCTGTATAGATTCTAGGGAGTGTGTATAGCAAGAGGAATGCTGTATAGATTCTAGAGAATGCTGTATAGCAAGGGGAATGCTGTATAGATTCTAGGGAATGCTGTATAGCAATAGGGAATGCTGTATAGATTCTAGGGAATGCTGTATAGCAAGAGGAATGCTGCATAGATTCTAGGGAATGCTGTATAGCAAGGGGAATGCTATATAGATTCTAGGGAATGTTGTATAGCAATGGGAATGCTGTATAGATTCTAGGGAATGCTGTATAGCAATGGGAATGCTGTATAGATTCTAGGGAGTAGTGTATAGCAAGGGGAATGCTGTATAGATTCTAGGGAATGTTGTATAGCAAAAGGAATGCTGTATAGATTCTAGGGAATGCTGTATAGCAAGAGGAATGCTGCATAGATTCTAGGGAATGCTGTATAGCAAGAGGAATGCTGTATAGATTCTAGGGAATGCTGTATAGCAATGGGAATGCTGTATAGATTCTAGGGAATGCTGTATAGCAAGAGGAATGCTGTATAGATTCTAGGGAGTAGTGTAAAGCAAGGGAATGCTGTATAGATCTAGGGTGA